GGAGAGGAAGTCTCTGAGAGAAGGCTGCCTGCAGAATGTGGCCGGTGGGAGTTCGTCGGAATTGAGGGGGCAGCGGGGATGGTGTGGCTGAGGTTTGCCAGAGAGGAGGTCGCCAGTGCGTGGAATGCCCATTGACGAGAGACCATTGCGGCTGGAGCGGGAACTGCTTCGGGTAGGTAGAGACTCTTAAGGAGGGAAGCAGGGAGAGAGTGGTTTTAGGGGCTCTTTTGCTTGCGTGAGATGAGAGAGCAGAGATAGGTTTATTTTTGGCAGGAATGGATTGGCTAAATGTGAGTAGGTCAGTATATTTTTTTATCTTTTTTTCATAATGGATGTGATGAGTTGCTAGGGTTGGATTTAGGCGGCAGATAAGATATATATTATCATTACTCACACACACACACACATAATATTATAAATTTAATTTTAATAGAATGCATATAATGAATTTTCTGCATTGAGGGTTTTCTTGTAAATTCTCAGAAGTTCGAGTCTCAAATCATGTGCCATCAATATGTATATGAAACTCTAGCAATATGGGTGTCCTCTTTAGATAAAGTCGACATCTCGCACTTGTGCTGTCTGTTTTATTATCAAAGTTCGTCGGGGCGACTTTCAATGACATTTGGGATGATTTGGGCCCAAATTATGTACTACTCGCCGATAATTCGTTGATTTCACTATGCTTCCTCTTTTTTTATCGTAGAAGGCTCCTCCATAAACAATTTTAATATTTTGGACACTCTCGCGTCATTCGTTTTATGGCTGGACATCGTTTGACCAACTTCGCCGATAGTCGAGGTGATTTGAGCTTAAATTTTGCACATCAAGATGAAAGTTTGTCGTTTTAATCGTGCTTGTTCCTTTCTCTCATGAAAGACTTATCTTTATACAATTTTGATGTTATGAGCACAACGATGGAATCCGATTTGCAATCGTGCATCATTTGGTTCAATTTTGACGAACTTCGCGGCATTTCACATTCGCATAGTGTCGCATTCTTCATTTGTTTTTTCTCACCATGACCGCTCAACTCATTTTGTGGAGTATATGTGTGGGTCAACAGCATGACAATAAAGTGTATATCTCCATCTCCCTAGGTAATGGGTAGCTTGATTACTTCTAAAGTTTCTTTTTTGCTCACCGAATAAACAGAATAATGATTTCGAACAAGAGATAAAATGAAAATTTCTCTATTTCATTTTCTCAGTGACATTTATAAATAAAATATTCACCAAACTCCTAAAATCTATCAATTTACTTTCTATTTGACAATTTGCAATTAGGGCAATGATCACAGTAGTATCATTTTATTGATTCTCATTAACAGGTTTATCTGCGTTTGTGAAATTGATTCATGGTAAACAACCTGCTGATGGCCAAGAAGAACTCGTTAAATTTATCTCATCGGACTGAAATCGTTTAAGACTCAACTATCGAGATTCTTCTGGTCCTACTCCATGAATGGATAAGACTACTACTATGTGTATAGTCTATGCAAATATTTGCTCATTTTGGGCTTTTTCAGTAGGTTTTTCTCCCTGTCTCCTTGTGTTCGCCTCTAAGATACCTAAAAATCCACTTAACTGTTGTCCAATGATCATTTCCTGGATTGGAAAGAAACCGACTAACAATGCCAATTGCATGAGAAATATATGGTCTCATACATACCATATCATACATCAAGCTACCCACAACAGATGCATAAGACACATTCTTTATTTCTTTCTTCTCATTCTCACTTGTAGGACATTGTTTAGTGCTAAGTTTAAAATAACCTAGAGGAACTTGTAGGACATTGTTTAGTGCTAAGAAAATATGTGCACTTCGGGATACTTGGTTACTTTTTCGGGGGGAGTTGTTTCTTAGCAATCTAACCTACAGAAGTGTGGTTTTATCAGCTATTGAGGCTGAGTATATTGCGGTCACATAAGCTTTAAGCTTGCAAAGAAGTCTCGTGGATGAAGAATTTCTTACAAGGATTGGGCCAAAAGCAAGATAAGTTTGTCTTACACTGTAATAGTAAGAGTGTAATTCATCTCAGTAAGAATTTCACATTCGAAGCATATTGATGTGAGATATCATTGAATTCGTGATGTGTTAAACTCGAAGATGTTATAACTCGAGAAGATCCATACCGGTGAGAATGGTTCTGATATGATGACGAAAGTATTATCAAAAGAGAGGCTTATAGTATGCTGAAGAATCACATGTATTGGAGAGCCTTTTCTCCATGTGATCGGGAGGGGGAGATCGTTGTGGGTCTCTCCCATGTGAAGCCTTCTGCCATCTCATTGAAAACTGAAAGTCAATCTTCTACTATTGTTAATAATAAAAAAATTCGGATCTTTTTACCGACAAGAAGGACGACAACTGCTACCCCCATTCGACGCATTTTTCCCCCCTTATCTCGTTGCAGTTCGTTCGCGAACCTAGGAAAGACCGACAAATTCAATACATCCGGTGGCAAGAATTGTTCTCACGACTCGGAAGATTTCAAGGAAGCAGCGTGAAAGGAGTTCGGAGTAAGAAATTTTGATTTTTCTCGTACCCAGTGAGGTTACCAAACCTTTTTTTATGTTTGATGGAATTAATATTTACCACCTATTTGGTGATGGTTGATTATTAATTTCCTCCAAGAATGTTCTAGAGAAGAACTTTGTAGATCCATTAAGTTAATTAGTGGAAGTGTTTAAGTGGTTTATGGGTCCCGTTGTCTTTACACTTTTTAGGGGTTTTCCACGTAAAATTTTGGTGTTGCTTTATTTTGTTAATTGCTTCAATTTTTCCATTGTGTGTGCTTGTGATGTAGTGGATTTTTTACTTGCTTTTTTTAACACAAGTGATTACCCCAAGTGACAAATTGTTGAACTAACAAAGGACAATTTTTTTTGAGTGTCGTAAAGAGGAGATGACACTTTAGTGTATCATTGATTTTCAACAGAGAAATTGCTGGCTCAAACGGAGCTTACATGGTCAGCACGGTTAGACTTCTTCATATAAGACTCCAGATGTAGATTCTTAAAATTTTCCAACACTTTTGCTTTCGTGACCTCCCTGCAAAGCTCATTCTCCAACTGTGACTTTTTCGTTATGATTTGCCTTTTCCTGTCTTGTAGATGATCGAAAGGGAGAAGAGCCTTTACTATCCGAAGATAAGTTTTATCCTCTTCTTCTACCATAGTAGAGGGCAAAACCCTTTTTGCTTTGTAGCAGCTAAAACCCTTCTACAGACCTCTGATTTTGAAGGACAAGATGGCAACTCTACACGAGCTGTTATTGTTTTATATATTCTAGAGCTTCACCTATCATCACCGTCATCTGTTTCTTCAATTAATTCATCGGATGTATTACAAATTCTCTAGTGCACTTCATGTCCGCTGAGTTCTCCCTCTTGTTATGCTCTGCTCAGTGGAAAGTTTCTATCTAGTATGTATTATGCTTCATGGTTACAACACATTTGAGGATGTGGGATTCGGAATTGTTGGTGAACACATACCACTAAACAAGAGCCAACGAAAAAAGAGAAATCCTAGAACATAGAACAACCAAAAAGAGAGTAGCATAGTTATGATTTTTTTATTAAATGGCGTGGTTACCATAAGTTATAGATGGCTCCTTTATATCTTGAGGATGTCACCTCTATTTATAGGTTTAGGTTAGCTTAGGATATACTACATAAATCGCTACAAAAAAAAAATAAAAATAATAATAATAAAAGAAAAAACTTATTTGGAGTAGCTAGACATGTAGCTTTATTACTCATTCGATTGATGATATGTTCGACATTTGCTGATATGGCTTGCTAAATTGTTCTACAGAACTGACTTGTCAAACTAGCAGCCAAATTATTTTGCTGAACTGGTCCGCTGAACTGGTCCGCTGAGTTTATGAAACTTGGCTTGCTACTTGATCTTTATCAAGCAAGTCCAAAATGTTCCAATTGAACTTAAATTTTAGCCATGCTTAAGGTGCGAACTTCTGGCTTGGGCTCAATTTGAGATAACTCAGTTTTACAGATAGAATATCATTCTGCCATAAAAAATCCAACTAATATGAATTTTGATTAGATTCAGTAAAATTGTTCAGTTTTACAGATAGAATATCATTCTGTTCAATTCAAGTCCTTTTTTAGTACAAGTAGATATTTTCTTTCAGAATTTAATAGTTGTCATTTTCAACATGCTAGCAAGGTCCCCATCTGAGAACACGTAAGCACAAAGGCCAACAAAAATTCAAAGAAATTGTTAATGAAACTTAATTTTACAATTTTACTCGATTTTTCCTTATTTATGATCAGAATAATAAACATTCTCAGCCCCATTTACAAAAAAGATCACTGAAATCACGCAGCCAGCACAACGAAATCATGGCACTAACAGATGTTACCATGAACAGGATCCAATTAAACAAGTTGTTACCTCCCATTAGGAATCCAACAACGCTCAAATCGCGATCAGAAACCAGGTTATAAAAACTAAAGGCATCAAGTTTCTTCCCAGTAGAAATAATAACCAAATTAGTCGCCACTAAGAATCCTAACTTCACTGACTGATTTAGCCTTTGGTCCCTTGGTTCTACGGTTAATTCTCTATGGTTTAATATTCTGGTCTTCAAGACTTATTGGTCCCTCTATGCCATCTTTAAAATTGGTGTTGATGGGCTCTTTGCGCTGGATTATTACTGACTGGCATCGTAGAATGTCACGGGTAAATGCTCATGTGAGAAAAGTGTCAAAATAGACTCCCGACTTATTGTAGGGGACTATTTTAGTCCAAAGAGTATAAAAATATAAATTTAGTCCTATAATTTTTTAATATGAGCTGAAATAGTCTTCCTACTCTTTTAATATGTGCTGAAAGCCTCAATTTAAAAAGTTTGTGGGCTAATTTGACATTTTTATAGACTCTGGGACTAAAATGGCCCCATATAAACAGCCAAGGAACTGTTTTGACACTAACTGTTGTTATTATTCTCATTGATTTCGTTTATTATTGTAGTGTACAAAAGAATCCCAAGGATAGACAATCTGCACAGTTGTTACTGGTATGCTTTGCTGATTCTATCCATCTTCCATCACCACATTCTCTTTTGCTGTCTTTAAAGATCACTGAGCTGTTACGTTTATCATTTTTTGTTCAGCAACACCCTTTCTTGATTAAGTATGATGGTTCGAACATCGATCTCGCTTTGTATTTCACGAGTGCCGCGGCTCCTTTAGCCACCTTCGGCGGTCCGATATGATTGCTACATTTTAAGAAATTTTATATACGTGATTGAGTTTCTTGCTGTTTAAAGAATTGTAACTTTTCTCAATCTGTATAGTTCCCACTTAACACTGTTTTGTATGGCATGGAAAAGCATTATCAACATCATCATTTTTATGCCATTTTGGATGGCGTTGTGTTATTTTATCTTTCAGGTTTTGTATAATAATTTGGTCATGCAAACTTTATGTATTCTTTAGATGATTATTAATTAGTAATTGCGAGCATTCTCTGAATTTCATAGATGATGGCTTTGGGTGGATTATTGTATGGAACTGTATCACATAGAGTCCTAGTGCACGTATATGGATAAATATGCCTCTTGTATTTTGTATTTTGTCAAATAAAACTGAAAATTATTTTAGGACGGAAATATCCTTATTGAAATGTCACATGTTTCCCACATATTAGTAGTAATTATCATAACGTAAATTATTTTTCTATTATTATTATTATCTTTTTTGTTTGTGTGTGCTTCGTCGACCGTCTGATGATTTGATAAGGAGAGTAAATGCTTTTAGATTTGGCTTCTGTTAAGAAAGGTAGAAGTAGGTCAGAAAAGACTTGGGCATGTTGTATAAAAAACATTTATAATTTATTAAAATTAAATGAAAATACGATGCTTAAATAGAACACAATGGAGAAAAGATTCTTGTAACTAACCCCACTTAGTGGAATAAAAATTTATTGTTATTGATATCTATTTTGTGATTCGATTAACAAGAGCCGATATGTGTGTCATCAATTGATTCAATTGAATAACAATCAAATAATAAAATAATGTGTTAGAGTGAATGAATGAGCGATAGTCAGATTCCTCTATCGGCAAATGAATAAATTCATCGGTTAAGGAGAATAACTTGTAAGATAATATTAAAGATAATTTTCAATAAATGTTGTAAGTTGTCTATAAGAATATGCTCATGCAACTTCACTCAATAAATTTCTTACTTGTTCTACAGTAGCCAAAATTCTCATGTCTGTATGTAGGTTCTAACTTACCAGAATGTCACGTAGTTGTATAAAGGCTTCTACCGTAAAGTGAAACAATTATAAGCATGCACCATCCAAATTATAAATCACATACTGATATCATGTGCATGCCCTGTCAAACATTGTCCTCCGAATAAATCAATCATTATCGGACGATCTATTATCCATAATTACTACTAATTTATTGTTAATAACATTACTTATCTAAATGTAATTGTTAATCATAGTATGCATGGTATCGAATAATCTGCCTTTCAAATAATTAGACATTCATGAAAATTTTATTGTCTCAACATGTCATAACAAAATTGTGTACTATATTATTGAAAGAAAAAATTAACAATGCCAAAAATGAAGTACAAGAGTGCTGCAAAAAAAATACAGCAGTACTAATAATGAAGTGTAACGATGACACAGCATAACTTCTAAGATGCTGAAAAAAGGTCTACTTTCAAAGCCACATTGAATATGTTAGTACTAAGGTTTTTTTTGTCATGTCTGTAGATCTCCTTTTCTTTTTTGGGTGGGGATGGAGGTGACAAGTGGTGGGAGGTCGGAACAGTTGGTGGTGGCTATAAGTTTGAACAACAAATAAATTATAAATTCACCAAACTTTATTCTGCATTTGGTTTTCATTCAACTAAATATTAAATTTTCAAAAACCCTTACATTCTATTCATACTACATGTATGATTGGTTTGAGGTGACATGAATCTCGAAGCAAGGGAACACAACATGACAAACAAAGTGGATTCAGAGCCAAAATGGGCCAGGACTAGTCAAAAGATCGAGTTATTCAGTAAATTGATACACAAGTCAGAGGGTCGGTATAGGATCCCATTGGAATACCCCAACCAGATAGCAAAACAATGGACATTGAAGCTGAACAAAAGGCATCCATAGGGCTAGTCGAATGAAAGACTATACGCTACCGAACGGACAAAAGAGAGGAGCTAGATTATTAAGGAATTCATAGATAGGACCGACCGAACAACCCTCCTATTATCCCCAAGTAATTTAGCCCACCGGGAATGAACAAAGTAGGATAAGCCGACGGACAAAGGCCAACTCCATCTATAGATATTTATTCAATATATATATATATATATAGTCCTGCATCATTATTGAGTAAGCATGATCCTCCCATTGTTCTTGCTAAGGTTGATGCCAATGCGGAGTTAAACAAAGAGCTTGCCTCTACACATGAGGTTAGTGGCTTTCCTACACTTAAGATCCTGCGAAATGAAGGGAAAAACATTCAAGATTACAAAGGCCCACGGGATGCTGATGGCATTGTTGAATATTTGACCAAACAAGCTGGCCCTGCTTCTGTTGAGATTAATAAATCCTCCGAGGAGGCGGTTAATCTCATAGGGAAAAAAGTTTTTATCGTTGGCGTATTTTCTGAAGTTTCTGGAGAGGAATTTGAGAACTTTACCCAAGTAGCCAAGAAGCTGCGCTCAGATTATGATTTTGGGCATACTATTGATGCTAAGCTGCTGCCTCATGGGGATACAGCAGTTAAGAGACCTGTAGTTCGCCTGTTTAAACCATTTGACGAGCTTTTTGTTGATTTCCAGGATTTTCATTTGAATACCTTGGAAGGCTTTATTGAAGCTGCCAGTGTCCCTATTGTTACGATATTTGACAAGGATCCTGTCAATCACCCATATGTATAATGAAGTTTTTCAACAACCAAAACGCCAAAGTTTTGCTTTTCATCCATTTTGCTGATGAACATTTTGATTCATTCAAATCGAAGTATTTTGAAGTCGCTGAGAATTACAAAGACAAGAAATTAAGCTTTCTGCTTGGAGATGTTAAGGCTGGTCAAGGCGCCTTCCAGTATTTTGGCCTTGAAGAAAGTCAAACCCCGCTTATTATTCTTCAACAAAATGACGGGAAAAAGTTCCTTAAACCTAACTTAGAAGCTGATCAGATTGCAACGTGGCTTAGGGAGTATGTGGATGGGAACCTCACACCTTTTATAAGGTCGGAGCCGATTCCGGAGGCCAATAATGAACCTGTGAAGGTGGTTGTGGCAAACAGTCTACATGATGTAGTTTTCAACTCCGGAAAGAATGTTTTACTTGAATTTTATGCCCCTTGGTGCGAACATTGTAAGAAACTGGCTCCCATACTGGATGAAGTAGCCGTTTCATTGCAAGATCATGCTGATGTCATCATTGCCAAAATGGATGCTACGGCAAATGATGTACCGAGTGAATTCGAAGTTCAAGGCTATCCAACTTTGTATTTCTCGTCTGCTGCTGGAAAGCTATTGCAATATGAGGGAGGTAGAACAGTCCAAGATTTCATTGACTTCACAAACACAAACAAGGAGGCTGCTGCAGATAGCACTATTCATTCTGATTCCATTAAAGATGAACTCTGATTCTGCGCAGATTTCTAAGTTGAGCATGGAAGCAGGTTGATAAACATCACTTCGTGGAGGTTCCTTATTCATATAATGTTTTAATTGTAGAACATAAATGGCATTCAAACAAAAGCCTTGGCTTTCAGTTCGGCAATTTTATCCACTTTTCTAACATTTTAATGAGTAGTGAGTGTTCATGTTTAAATCTTGGTACTAATTTCTTTTGCGATTAGATTTTGGACCCATTTTCTAAGTTTTATTTATTATATCTTCAATATATGTATATATATACTTTTGTAACCCTAAAATCTCTTGCATGAAGGGAGCAAATGTACCTTCTATACCTATAAATATGAGACACATTGTGTGAAAGAGGCAGACAATAAAGCTCATGCTCTATTCCTTGAGCCGGATTGTAGAGATTTTTGGGTTAAAACTACACTAATAATACTGGCAGCCAAACGACCAGTACCGCCCTTCGACCACAAACCTTCCTTCTAATTTCATTTAGAAAAACTTTTCACCGTAATAAGCAAATTAATAACATTTTAGTCTTCTGTTTGTGAATTGTGCAGATGTTGAATTATGTAAATTAAAATAATAATTCACTCAGATAAACATATGAGCTGCTTCATGAATCAATTCACAAGTCAATAGCATAACATAATTAAGGTTTAATATAATGCCAAAATTTCAAATATATTTTCAATAAAACGAAAAATTAATATCTCAAAAAAAAAATGCAGTGATATATGGATGATAAAACACTTAGAAATACTGAAATTTATTTAGAAGCACAATAACACACTTAGATCCCAAAACAAAAATTATAACTTTGATTTATCTCACGTAAATTCAGCTTTTCCATTGCCATTTTACATCAACAGAAATCATTCCAGATGTGGTGAAGTAAATATCATTTGGCCTGGAGCTAAAATTGCCTTGGGATCATACTTCATCTTCAGCTTCACAATCCTCTCCCATTTTGATCCAAAATACCTCTTCCACTCCTCTGTGCTTCTGTAGTATGGCATGTATTCCTTCATCCCTAAGCCATTCTCATCACTAAATCTCTTAATCTCCTCAATGAGACCAAGCACACGCTGTAAATCTCCTGCTTCTGTGGCAATTAGAAGACCAATCTTGTAGAATATGTCTTCTTCCTCTGGAAACATAAGAGACCATTTCTCTTCCCACCTGCAACAATACACATTACATATTGCAAGACATTTATGGTAGAAATAAAAGATAAGTGTATAGCTAGTTTAAATATTACTTGTTTCTATTCATGGGATAAACAAGGATGACACCTAAGGGCTTCTCCACTTGGAAGATGCCCTTGAAGACTTTCTCATTGAAAAAGTTTATCTTTGATTTAGGAACTAGCATGTTCAGCCATGGATGGTGAAGATTCCACAGGTTGCGACGACGGAGCTTATGCTCTTCGACGCGAACCCGGTCAACGAACTCGGTGTATGAGAGGTCTGTGGTGAACTTAAGCTGCAAGCCATTCATGACGTCGCTGAGAATTGCGTCAATGTCCTGTGATTATTTAATAAGTTAGTATATGATGACTATAGTTCAGAAGTTTTTTATTTGCAGAGGAGTTAAAAATATGGCTAATGTCTTAAGTGAATATTGGAGGCTGAAAATTGTTTTTGGCAGTAGCATGTGGAAGAAACGGAGTTAAAATATTTATAGAACTTAATACATGATACTCTTAGGAAATTAGAAAGAACGAAGTCAAGAGCATCAAGGTATGTCCTGTATACTTCAGTTATACGCTAGATTAAAGATAACTATGGAGTAAGTTTGGTTAGAGATAATTAAGATGTAAGTCTTTGCTACAATATTGCAGTGTAAGGAAGGTAGAGGTGTGAGTCTAAATGTGAAGATTATGTTATAAATGAGATTAGGATGTAGATCTTGAAGAGATGGCTATATTACTTTAATGGTTGCAAAACTGAGTCAAGATGTAGAAATTTGTAACATAATGGAGATTGTGACGCAATTCTAGAACAAGAATAGGTTCAGAATAAGAAGGTGATTGTGGTGATGACTGTCATACAAGATGGGTTTTGCATAAGTCATGGGGAAGATAATAATATTTGGAATTCCTGTGATGAGGTTATGATGTACTCACTTTCCCACAAATAAGTGTTTTAAAAAATAGGAATTCTGCTCTAGCCTCTGCGATTGATTCGTTTTTAAAACTGGGATATAAAACACCCATTCGTGGGAAAGTGGTACTCGCCCATGAGGAATTGAGTACCGTTCGAGAAATATTGATTTGAGATCTAAACTTTTGTGCAAGCATATGGAAGGCCCGTTGTGTTTTTAAGATTGCAGGTTAAACTTATTTTTTTAAGCTCCAAATGAATTTATGTAAATGCAAGAACATTTTCGAAAATATTTCAAAATTTGAATAATTTCAAGGCATTCAAATTTCAAGAATATTTTCTAAATCAAATTAAAAAGGCAACACTTGGAGATCCATGAAAGTATTTTAAAACTTGCATGAGTTAATGCTTGGATACACTCAATAAATGAGCCATGTAAGATTTCAAATTGATGCATATGCCCCTTTATGCAACAATTTATCTTATAAACACATATTTTAATTTTACATCTAAGCCACTCAAAAGATACAAAATATTTGAAAGTGTCTTAACATATAAAATTAAAAGCCCACATGTGCTCCAACCAACATATTAAATGTTTAAATACAAGGATCGAGAATGCTGCATGAGCTAATCAAGTTGCCTTTTCTATAGGATAAGGTGGTAAGTCTCACCCCACTATTCTGATCCTCCTCCTCATAATGACTGAAGTTGACGAGTCTAGTAATTTTGAAACAATGTTTAGTTCTTAAAATAATTTACAAGTCGAAATTATCCAATTCGTACCTGCTCCTTATATGGACAGGAGTTGATGGAATTTATATCCTAAAAAAGACTAAATTAAATGCCTAACTTTAAAAATAATGTTTTAAATGCATAATTCTCTGATGATGACCGTGTTGATCAAAGATTTCAACCGAATGGTCAATCTGTTAAATTAAGATTTTCAAAGTAACCAAAAAAATATTCAAGCAAAAAATTAATCACTTAAAAGCTGAACTTAAATTTCATCCACTCACTGCAACAGTTTATCGAGGGTGACAAATTTCTGATTGACTTCAGCTCACGAAAAGCAAATAACATATCATGTATAAATATATTCACAATTAATTTAAATTTAATACTAGTAAGGACATGAATCGAGTCCTTTGTCTGCGTGGTTCTGCCGCGAAATGACACAAAAAAGTAGCGAATACGACGAAGTCCTCTGACTGGGTGTTTTCTGCAAAATGATACTATTATATTATGGTCACGACCACAACCCATATGTTTCCAAGGGCTTCTACCCTTTGAGTTCTGAATTATAAGAGTACAATTGATTGACATGAAGCCTTTTGTTAAATAATGTCAACTTAAAATTGTCTCTATAGATAAATATCCACCCCAGATCTACAAGGATATCTTAGATGATGTAATCCATGGATGCCAACAAGTTTCTTTCTATCAGGTTGGTTCAACTACCTCCTCTAACTAAGTAGATCGGGGACAACAACAACCTTGGACAATATAAACATGGAATCTTAATCGGGTTTCGTCTTTATTTCCCCACCATCCACTTTAAGCTTCGAGTGGTGAATTCTGAAAGTTAAATCTCATGTCAGCCGCTATTATATGTTGAATACTCAAATACTAATGACTAGCCTTAATCGAAAGTGTTCTCCCGTTATTGGGAGAGGTAATTAACAATAGGGGCTTGCATCTATGGGAAACCTCAAACCCCAAATAAAAAAATCATCGCTAAATGAGGGCGTAATATCTGGTTAGTATCTTATCTCAATCTAATCCATCTTCTAAAAATTATACCCTCTTAAGCTCTCTCTCAAAACAAAATAATAATAAATCTAGAGGGTTGTCCCATCTTCTTCATCTTTACAACCGAGACCTCCAACATTCTTTATTATCTTTATCTTCAAAAAGGAGGGTCACATTACCGAGAAATATTTGTGTACGTAAGATGTACACAGAGCTGCGTATGTCTAGTAGGTTACAGAGAGGGTAGTGAGGGTTATATCTGCATTATATCCCCTGTAACCCCCCTGTAACCTACCTGTAACTAGTAAATTTGGTGCTTCTATTGTCATATATTTCTAAGTTACAGGTAGTTTACAAAGATATTACAGGGGGTATAACGCAAATATAACCCTCAATACTCTCCCTGTGACCTACCTGACGTACGCAGTGCTGCGTACGTCTTACGCACACAAATATTTCTCCACATTATCCTCTCCTCCATTTCATTTGGCTGAAACCCTCTTCATCCATTCCTCGCGTGTTTCATACAAGCAAGACATAGCTCTTTCACTCCTTTTAATTTCGTTTACTAAGCATGTTAGTTAATTTATTTTATGAATCTACATACCTTAAAAGGAAAATTCTTACATATATATGCCACTTAATCTCCATAAATATGCATTTTAAATTTATGAACATAAGTATACATACATGCTTCAAAATTCATATATCGTGTGTGTAATTTACTTTCAAAAATATGCATCACATGTGAAGGATGCTAATTTCAAAGCAGGTTTAGCCTATGTTAATTTCAAAGCATGTTTAACCTATGTCAATTTCAAAGGACGTTTACCTTTCAAAGCATCTTTAGCCTCTATCTATTTCAAAGAATGTGCAGCCCATGTCAATTTCAAAGCAAATTGTTCTAGTTTGAATATATGTGTAGACTACATTAATTTGAAAACATATTGTAAGATTCATTGATTTATATGTTGTATGTTATGTTGATATAAAGCATGTGTAGGTTATATATATTTGCAAAGCATGGTGTGTTTATGAGTAATTTATGTTCATATGAAATCATGTTTTTGCAAGCATATTGTGTTTTTGTATTATGTGTAGAATAATTTGCAAGCATGATATGTTTATGTGCTTAGGATTTTGCAAGTTTATGTGTTTAATATATGATCACTTGTAAGCTTATATGTTTAGATTATGGTAATTTATAAACCTCAATAATCTAACTCTAAATTTATCAAAATTTCTTAAAAAAATTATTTTAATAAAAAATTATTATGTAAATTTAAGTGTGCTAAAAAAAATGCAAAAAATCATATATATATATATATAGTATATATATATATAAATTACTTAAAATTAAGTGTGCTAAAAATGCCAAAACTCTCTCTCTCTCTCTCTCTCTCACTCTCTATCTATCTGTGTGTGTGTGTGTGTGTATGACAACTTTTTTTTATGTAAATTAACTAAAATTTTCCAAACTATTTTCATATAAATTACTTAAACTTAAATGTGTTCAAAATCACTCAAAATTTGAAATTATTTTCATTCTTCAAGCATATAAATTTTATGGTAATTCTTTAAGCTTACAAGGTTTCAAGTAATTTTTATGAAAATTCCTTAAGCTAAACTTTCAAATTATTTTTATGATAATTATTTAAGCTTACAATTTTAAAGTAATTTATAAGCAAATTTCCTTACATTATTTCACACCCTCAATTAATTTCCACTTAATTCAAATGATTTGTAAGTAAATATGTAAGTTCGCATAAAATCTATACAATTTTTATATGTTTAGTACATAAATAGGCAAGTTTACTTTCAAAACATGTCATTTATGTATTTAACACATAAACATGCAAATTTAAATATTCATGTAAGTTCATGAACATTTCATGCAAATTCTTATATTTTTGTGTGTTTAACACTTAATACAATCCATATAATTTACATCCCTAATACTTAAACTTTCATATTTCAGTTCAAATGTACATAGTTTAAATATGTTTGTGTAATAAACATATTTTTTGTGATAAAAATATATTTTATAAAAATTACTTTCATATAATAAATATGTCTGTGAACAACTTAATTATTATTTAAAATAAAAAACTAAAACTTTAAATTATGTTTCTGCGTATGATAAGTAAATTATTTTGTGTGAAAACTAAATTTTGAATAAATATGTGTTAAAAATTAAATATTCTGTGAATGATAAGTAGCTATTTTAATATAAACTATTAAATATTAAGCTTGTAAACAAATAAAATAAAATTGAAGTGTTAAATATGGAAGTATATGTAATTAAGTGGTATATAAATGAATAACTTTGATATGTATATAAACCTCAAATTTTCCTAGAAACCCTAAGAAAACCTAAACTTCAACATAAAATAGTAAACAAACACCAGAAACCAGATTTAAGATGAAAACCAAATGAAAAAACTGTAACATACATTAAAAAATCAAGAAAAAACATAAAATCTTTTTTTTTCCTACTAACCAACAAATTAGGAAGCTTAACCACATAATAATTAAAATATTTATCACCAACTTAATTAACAACAACCACACATGGGTACATCAACAGTAAACTCTATGCTAGTTAACATAGAAATGAAATTCATGTCGATACACACTCCTAGAATAGTCCAAATTAGAAACATAGATTAGATTACTAGGTACCTTTAGCTAGTTGCTAAAAACAAGGACATATAAACCTCCAAATCCTAAAAATTCATTGGATGATGTAGGTGTCATAAGATGAAGTAATCCATAATTACTGAAAAAAGTTCCTCTACTAATTAATGGTCAAATAGGACTACACTTGCCATCACTATGGTAATAGTAGAGACTTCGGACTATCTTACTGGTTAATAGTCTAAGGCTACCAATGAACTTGAGATGCTGGAAAACTGTGGGTATCTTGATCGAGGACGTCATTTCCAAATTTTAGGTTAGTCCATACCTATTTAGTCTCCTTATAGCTCAAAGATTTATTTTAGGGATAGGACTTCTATTTAGGTATCATTCAACATAAGCATGCCCCTTTAGTTTAGGAATCCTACTAATTTTTTTGAAACCCCTGTAATATAATTAATTTTTTATTTAAAAATCTTCATATCAACTCAATCCAACCCTTTCTAACTTTATCCTAAGTTTACCAAATTTAACTTCCTTCAACAACCATCTAATTTTAATCTCTAGGGTTCATCTCCGATTCAAAGTTGGTTGATCCTTCTCACTTAACTTTGACATGACACATCATTGTTGGACTATAAGTCATGACCCTTGAATTTCATAAGCAAAACTCTCCAAATCTTGAACCTAGCTCACATAAGAAAATCTTAAAAACACCCATCTTTAAAAATCCAACCTTAGAATCCTAAACAATACATGCCAATACTTTAATCAAGAGTTTTCTAAAAGGTTCACGACTCCTGAAAGCAATTAACTATGAGGCCTTGCCCTTGCAGGAGCACAAGTCCCTATAATTAAAATAAACTATAATTTGCACCAATGAGTAGTGAAACAATCAATTCGAGATTAGATCTATCATATAATATTATTTTTATCCATCAAGTTAATATACTATTCATTTATGTCATATTCGATCACAAGTGAGAAAATTTAAAACTTCTCTGTGTTCCAAAAATGAAAACAAAATTCACATGCATAGTAATTTTAGCACATGGTAATGTATGAAATCTTTAAATTAAAAGGAGGATGCACTATTATTTTCCTTATGCATATCTATCATAAATAATAAAGCATAATAAGACTAATCGATGGATAACCATTAACCTTATTTTAATCTAAATATATATAAGTGTTGGCTTAAAAAACTTAAATTTCTAACACATATATATATATAT